CCATCACATACATTTTTTGAAGTTTTTTTCATTCGATGTTTGATATCTGTATTGAAATTTGAATTCACATTAATGATGCACCACATCCTTTAATGATAAATCCATCGATGTGGCTAAGTCTTTATCGAACTTAAATAACTAATAATTCACTAGCTAAAGGCCGTAGTATCAATAATATCACGCGTTGTCATCAGATAATAAAGTTGATTTTGCGCCGCCCACCCAACTCAACTTACTTAAGTTAGGCTGGCAGAACAATTTTGTTAAGCAACTTCACTTAACAGAACTAATTTTCTTGAAATGCATAAATTAACACGTCTTCCACTACGTAATTAAGAAAATAACAATATGATCAGATTGTTACTATAAGTAATTAATGGTGTAAATATTTTATAGTGCATTATTATTAATTAATATCACTTATTTTTTAAGAAAGACATTTTGTGGAAAAGAAATTCCTTTTGTGCCAAACACACCCTAATAGAAAGTTAAAAATACTCCATAGAATTGTGTATACATAAAAGGTTCAAATTGTTGATGACTATTGACTAGTATATATTTTTTTAATTTGATGGTCGATACTTCTTTCTTTGAGTCTGATTAATTCATATTTACATTAGAATATCTTATTTTGAGCGTAAAACATTCTTTATTAAGAACGATTTTACATTCGAAACTTAAATTCAAAATCTTAAATTCAATTAATGAATACTTACCGTTGTATCAGTATCAATAATATTTATCTCTAGATCCTGTTGAGTTTTGCCTACCTAGCTAGTGTCCCATACATCCTATTAATTTCTATGTTTTTTCTTCTTTTACTCCACCTTTTAAAGGAAGGGGGTTATGACACGTGTAACTTCCCTCAATTAATTAATTAATAGAATTAGGTAGGCTTTGAAAAAACCTAACACAAATGTTTCTTGCAAAAAAAATTCCTTAAATATAATCCAATCATACTAAATTAGCTAACTAATTATGTCTAGCTTCAACATATCGTGGATTCAAGTTTCTTAGTGGTCGTTATCAAAATGAATTTTCGCATATCAAAAAAATTCTGAATGTGATGGGAGTGTTAAGAATATGATAAAATAAATTGTTATATTAATATTTTTAAAGATAGAAGTATAAAAAACACTCCTAAATTTGACGTAAATTAGTAGTTTCATTTCCGAATTATTTACGGCCTTAAAAACACCCTTTACTTGACTAATTGAAGTTACATATACCCCTGATCTTGCAACATTAGTGAAATACGCCCCTGAATTCTCGTCAAGTTTATGGGTGTTTTCAACACTTTTCTCGATTTTTATTAAGAATTTCATGCTCCTACAAGAGTTTGAGACCACTTGTTATGTCATGTTGCGTATCGGGAGTGTATCAGGGGTATATCTAGGTTTAGTTAGTCAAGAATAAGAGTGTTTTTAAGGCTGTCAATAATTCGAGGATAAAACTAATAATTTACGCTAAGTTTAGGAGTATTTTTTATACTTCTCTCTATTTTTAAATGAAATAATCATGCAACTCAATATAAAGTAATGGCAAACATAAGTTGGTGATTGGTGATGGAGGCTTAATTAAATTAAGATGTATATAATTAATTTACTCAATATTTTTTGAATTTTATAGTCTTAACTCTTATACATGATATGTAAGATGTTAGGTATAATGAAGACGAATTTAGAATTTAAAATTTATAAATTCTTATAGCGACCTCAATTGCAAATTAATATGTATAACCACGATTACTATGCTCTATCCATTTCAAATAGTTTGTCCTCCTTTTTTTTTAGTCCATTTTAAAAAATAAAAAACCTTTTTTTGTATTTTTATTCAATTTTTCATGTGACATATTTAAAATTTTAAGATTCAATAATATTTTAATATTATCAATATATTTTTAATTTAAAATTACAAAATTCATAATTTTTACTTTACAAATTAAAATATGACAAATATATTGAAACGAAGGAGTACATTAATATGGCAAAAATTAGTGGATTTGTATGAACCCCTAAATATGGCGGCAGTTGAAACTGCAATATTACTTCTTTTGTTACAAAACTTGAACCAAAAAATGAAAACTAATTATGACGTTTTCATAAGATTCTAAAACCTAACAAAAGGCCAAAAAAAGAGGAAAAATAAAAAAGTACATAGTTTTTATAAAATCAGGCTTTATTCATGTATAATACTAACGTCTTTAAGTAATTTAGGTACTATTTGTTAACAGTTGCAATAATATATATAGTTGTAACGTCTAAGAATATTTTTTATTAATGTATATCTACACGTACGACTATACCTTATAATTTATATCTTATCTTGGGAATCTTATAATGTACTTTACGATTATCTTATCTGAATTTTCATCATATAATGTACTTATTGATTCAAACGAAATGTGTTTTATCATTATTATATTGCAAAGTCAAGATTTTCACTGAGGAAATGTAAAATCTAAAAAAGTAAATATAAAAGAAAAAAAAATCCAACATGTAATATATACACACAAAAAAAGTTGATGTATCAACATAATGTATTTTTTGATAAAGAGGTATCGATTAACTCTCCTTAAACAAAGACAATTCTGCCCCCTTGCGACTATACACTTTGATATTTAATCGGTAACACGAGTTAAGATCTATACACTAACAATATAAATGCCATTTAATTTTTATAATTAGGTCATAATTTAAATAATTGAATTACTTTTCAATAAATGTCTTCACTAATTAAATTATAATCGTAAATCTTCTGATATATATAACTTAAATTCATTTAAAGTTTCGCGGCACAATTTTAGCTTGTTCCTACTTTTTTAAGAACATGTAAATGACAAATTTAATTACGTAAGAAGCCAAGTTGAAAAGTTCAGGAAAAATGATGTTATTTTAATGATCTTGTGGGACCTAATTCTCATTAAAGTTAGGGAAAATTACGTGGCTTAGCTAACTCAGTTTTTAAATTATTTTTTATAATAATAGTTTTTTTTTTCTCTATATATATTGTATAGCAATAATTTGAGATTTTATAGCAAATATGCGTGAATATACTTATTTTCACAAATACAATTAGATAGACATATTGTTTACGTGCGAATACACATATTATACACGTAAATGTAATACATTTAATTATTATTATTATTATTACTATGCATATAAATATAATGTACTTCACATAAAAATATTATATACATGTGAATATTATCATGTATATAAATACAATATATTTTACTATAATAATGAATGCAAGTATAATATACATAGCACTATATATTTATGAAATCTAAACACAAATAGCATTATATGTATGGTTTTTTTCCTTTTAAGTTATTGTATCGACCGTCACATGTTAATGTTCTTCTAAGGGATAATTACCTTTTTGGTTCTACGTACCTGAGAAAATTAAGGAATAATTATTTAATCATACAAATATTCTTGTCATATTTACTAATTCTTTAACTAATTAATAATTCATATCAAGTTTCAAACCAGATACACTCTAAAATACAAATGCATAGGGAGAGACACGAGGGAGGTGAGCGAGAGACCTAGATACATGTGAATCACACTATATACATGTATCTGGAATATTAGACACTTTTTGAGACACAAATACAAAGGGAGAGAGGCGAGTGAGATAGGAGAGAAGCGAGTGAGATAGAAGAGAGGCGAGCGAGAAATTCAGATATATGCAAATCTACTTGGATATAGTGTCTCTGAAACAAATTACACCTAATTATCACCCACTTGTATATGAGATACATGTATCTGGATGCGTCAAATACATGTATTTGAGGATCGAAATCTGGCACGAGTGATAATTTCTAAAACTCACGAGAAGACACGTAATTAGGCCTAAACTAGTGAATTTTGTGTTGTTTGTCCTAAAAATAATGTATAACGTGCAAAAAAAAAAATCTAATGAGAGATGGCAATAAAATATTCAATAACAATATATTTTTTTTAGAAAAATCACATAAAACAAATAGTGCATATTAATAAGTCATAATAGAATTATGATAATTTAAAAGTATTAAGGCATGCTAAAATAAATCTAATAATAAGTATTAGTTATATGACTAGATATTCAAAAAAAATAAAATTATATTACGTATTTTAATTGTTTAAATCAATATGTAATGAAACAATGGAGTATCTTCTATTTAAATGTGAGGTCTCTAAAAGCATTTAGAAGAAAGTACTACTCTCGCAAACCATCCCTCTTGGGAACATGGTGTGGCAAAGGGAGATACACTGGACAATTAGAAATTGGAAACCATCCTTCTTGAACTTTATTTAAGCTACTAATATCTATGAGCTATAAAACTTATTAGACTATTCAAAATTCTAAGTTCAAATTTGAAATAATATGTTAAAAGATAAACCTATGAAAAAGTTTTTAAAATATTTATAAATTATATCACAGTTATTTTTATATTAAAATACTTTTAAAAATTATATTCATATCATATTGATTTGATTCGATTTGATTTTTTTTAGTTAAAATCAAATTAAACTAAATTAATTATGATCAAGTTCTATTTTTCCACACCAAACATTTAAATAAGGCAAAAATGACAAATATACCCCTGAACTATCATAAATGGTATGCAGATACCCTCCGTCATACTTTTGGGATATTGATGCCCCTGCCATCCAAAAAACTAGAGCATATATACCTTTTATACTAACGAACATACACGCGTCATAATCTTATCTACCGACCCGACATTTATTAAATATCGGATCGACGGATAAGATTGTGTCACGTGTCCTTATTTAGTCTTCTATTAGAGTGAAGGACATATATGCTCTAAATTTTGAACGGCAAGAGCACCAATATCCCAAAAGTATGACGAAGGATATCTGCATACCATTTACGATAGTTCGGAGGTATATTTGTCCTTTTTCCCTTTAAATAAATCCAAAATTTGTCTTCAGTTAATTTTGTTGCTCCCCGAGTTCATTTACTAGCCAAGTAATTTGACTAATAATCTTAGAAATGTATAATTGATTGTAGTCATTCTTCAATCATCATTGTTGTGTATATCTAAACCATTTCTAATAATATAAGGATATATTTGACCTATTGAAGAAACAAGAATATTATTGATAAAACAATATGACTACAATTTTATTCCTCCCTTAATTCTTCTCTTCTATGATTTCTCCGTGATTTGAGAGTCGTCAGTAACGTATATGATATATCTCAAACCAGTATGATTTGGACTTGATCTCCATGAAGGATTTTCTTGAAATATTTGATTGTGAAGAAGAGTCTGGCATATCTTGATCTCTTTATAAATATCCCAAGAATTTATGTGATATTCGAGATCTCACAATAAATTGTCCTATTCTTTTCTTTTTCCAGGTTGCTTCTTTTTTCTCATAAAAAGAATCACAAAGACAACTACAGATAACATTACAGCTGATCCAACAATAACAGGAACACATACCTTGCTCCTCTTAGGCAGTTTATCCTCCTCTTTTTCACAAACTTCATCATCTTTCAAATTTCTACATTCAACTTTATCATCACCTATTTTGGTTTCCCTTCCGGGCAATTCATTATTAGCACCATGTTGTTCGATTAGTCCTTTTCGATATGCAGTTACTGAATCAGCTGCTCCTTCGTCTTCTTGAAATCTCGCTCTTTTAAGAACTGTATAAGGCAAATTCTCTGAGCTGGTCTGTGTAACAAGCTCTGGCTCCTTCATTCTCTTTGGCATTGTAATAGTCAGGTTGGAGGTTTCCTCATTGAAGTTAGTTATAATTTCGTCCACGATTACCCCTTCTGGAATCTTAAAAGACTCTGTAAATTTTCTAATTTGTACACCTTTCTTGATCACTTCACTCCCGATCGTTACAGTTTCTTGGACCGGCTTCTCACATGTTACCACCAGTTTAGTCTTGTCCTCATTAAGATCAACCTTTACGTTTCCTCGCGTATAACCTACACAAATATTTTCCACAATCAAATAAAAATAACCAATGTTTCGCATAAATTAACTTTCGAACAAATGTTATTGAGTTCAGCAGAACCCGTATTTGGGCTTCAACCTCTGCCCCTGTAGTAACCAAATACCAGGAAACAACATTCTCATAGAATAAGTCAAACATACTAGAGATGACCTTTCAAATGAGCAGTGATGACGAACATAGTGTTTGTTTCTGTAGACTGGAAAGCAAGGCCAGCTCGATCTCTCGGAAACTGAAAGAATTCACTGGAGTTGAATTCATCTGAAACTCTTGCTACCTTGGATCTCAATTCCTTATCCATTTTTGATGATTGTTGGGGGAAACTTGATTGAGCAAGTTAAAATACTAATTTAAAGTCAAGAACTAACAAAAGCATATGCTAGACTTGAGAGAAAAGCACAAATGCTTTGCTTCATAACCAATTATACTTTGGATTATGAGGTCACATGGACGAAAGTCTTCTCACAAAGTTTTGTCCAAGTTCGCCTTCAAACAAGATTTTGCGTTTGATTCCAAACACATGAATACATTGTTAAACATTAAAATTGGATCCTGATTTAAATGGAACAATAGTTTACCGAGTTTAACTTATGCACCTACAGGCTACAATATAAAGGATTTTTACACTATCAATGTATGTAGCGTGTTGTTTGTTCACAATAATGTAAACAAAAAGACATCTTTAACGTACAAAAACTTGTTATATATAATAATATATCTTGTGAAATAGATAAGCAAGAACATGCAGGCAAATTAGTGAGAAATTAGTCATTACCTGAAGATGCTTTTCTTTGACTAGAATTAAATTTGTGGCTACCATTATCGAAACCTTTGACTTGGTCAACAAGAAAGCCACAACTTTGACCAATATCTTGAGACCACAACTTCCTTGCAGCTCACATGATGAGAATTGTTTAATACTAACCTGAAAGGTCAGACAATTTCAAGTAGAAAACAAGAACTTCTTCAGATAGTCATTGGTCAAGAAAACCTTGTAATAAGTCATTAACAAAGTTCCACTATTGACCACGAAGACAGTCAATGACAAAGACAGCACTCCTGTCAGAGAAGGACAACCCAGTGCACTAAGCTCCCGCGATGCACGGAGTTCAGGAAAGGGCCAGATCACAAGGGTCTATTGTCCGCAGCCTTACCCTGCATTTCTGCAACAGGTTGTTTCTACGGCTCGAACCCGTGACCTCCTGGTCACGTGAAAACTGAAAACAACTTTACCGGTTACACCAAGGCTCCCGTACAGAGGAAAACAACACTGGTCCAGAATCCATAGATCAAGATCTTAAGATTCCAGAAAGGGTATTTTCCGACTTCCGAGTTAAGAGAAAATGAAAACCAAAAAACAAAATGTTATCCCATGGAACAAGAGAAAGTGGTTTGTGACCAGCAGGCTATGGAATGTAAAGAGAACAGACTTGTGCAATGAAAGATCAGAAATCGTACGATAAGTATTTGGAGAACATACCCGAAATACGACAGTTAACCATGACAGAAGAATAGGAGAAACTTTGCTTGGCATCATCATTGAAATACGATAAAGAAAATGCCAAACTATAAGAGAAATAAAAGTAAAAATAAGAGATTCTTCGTATGGATGGTTATTCATAGACAGCTGCTAAACAACTATTACACACATTACAATAAATTTCCTTCCTGCTGATTCATTTCCTATATTTAGAAAAATCTAATGCAAGAGCTTCAATAAATGCATAATGCATTGATATATATCACCAATTACAGCATCATAAGCAAAATGTTGAAATGAAACTCAGTTACAGAGGTAAAAGACAACTGACTAAACAACCTCACACAAGATGAACAATACAACAATGGACCAGAGATCCAACTATTTTGCATTCTTTACATAATACATAGCGATAAATACATGAGTTTACCTCTTTAGACTATTTTGGGACATTGCACCATTTCATCCTCACTATTCTTCTCATCTAAAAAAGGGCAAACAAAAAGAAACAAGGGGAAAACTAAGAGCATAATCTGCTCTTCTAATAATGGTTGCAGAGGTGCACACACTCGACTGCTACAACTCTAAATGGAATCTCGATTCTGTTTTACCTATGCCAATGATGAATCCCTCACCCGATAGAGTCGAGCCCTTCCGTCCTGCTTCGAACAATCCTATGAAACACTTCTCGTACCTGACGCTCCAACGGGCCCAATCCATCTTTTAGACCATAGTAGACAATCCCAAGCTCCTGAACTCTTTGCTTAACTTCCCCTTCCTTTTCCTCTGAAAGGGGGAAATGAATGGTATCGGTCAATTCATTCATGTGGCGGGCGCATATCTCGATCTTATTAATCTCCCTCAACAATCCACAAGCATTTCTACGCTCCCTCTTTCTTGACTCCTCCAAAATCCTCTCATGGAGGGCGAGAACTGGAGCAGCCCAAATGAATTGCCTAGTAACATGAAAATGTGTCTGAAGGCCACGGTCTTGGCAGGGAATTGCAGCCACAAGCGTCCACATTACAAAGTAAAGCACATAACTCATTGTAAAAACAGCTACAGCTAATCCATTGGTGGCAGTAATTTCATTATTTTTTGGAGCAACTAAGTTTTGACCAATTGCTTGAAGTTGCTTAGCAGCAGACCAATTCCGCGATACACTCCATGACAATGATCGAAATTGGCCCAACGAATTATGATCCTTCTGAGCATTGTTTCGTCCAAATGACCTGTTTCTATGAGCAACACTTGAATTAGACTCTTTTTCATCAATCATACCAATTGCCAAATCAATCAAAGCTTTCATGGAACGACGAATTTGACCTTCCCCAATACTCCTCTGGTTATCCAATGCATAATAAACAATCTCCAACTGCTTCTGCCATTGCCTGATCAAGTCAATCCCATCTCGTATCGCATTACACACATCTAAAGCTTTCACACTCCTTTCGTAATATTCCATTACGTAACGGTCAGCAGGGGATTTATTCAACAACCCCTTATTCTTAGACACAATAGACTTAAACTGCTCCTGGCAAGAAAGGAACACATCCAATAGCTTGTGAATCCAAGGAATCGACAAAAGCTGATCAGAGTCAGCAGATGCCAAATCATTGAAAAGCTCAGCTACTTGCTTTTGAAAAGCTTCAAGCTCTAGCTCTTGGCTAGTTCCCTCATGACCACCAGATTCCATAGAATGTACTTGTTGATCGCGACGTAAACTCAGAATAGACCTCCCAAAAGTTGAAAAATCTGTTGCTGGCATTTCTTGAATTTTACATGAAACAATCAAATACCCCAAGAAATCTTGAAATTCAAACCAAAATCTCCCAAAAAGATCAAACAAGATCAAAACCCACGAATAACAAACACAAAATGAAAATAACCCAATACCAAAAATCGAAACTTTAAACAGAAATTAGTGTCAACCCCACAAAAATTCCTCACTACAACAACCTACCTAACTATGATCAAGAATTGATAGAAATGATTTGAAATTCACAAAATGAAAACAACCCAATACAAAAAATCAAAACTTTAAACAGAAATTAGTGTCCAACCCACAAAAGCTCTTCACTACAACAACCTAACTATGATCAAGAATTGATAGGAATGATATGAAATTCACAAAATTCAAGAACCCTTTTACCTTGACACCTCCAAATACTCAATCAATGCTCTCAAATCTTACTTTCACTAAAATGAGAGGAAAAAAAAGTGATAGTAGAATTCAAGAGAAAGAGAAAAACACAAAAGGGGAACCGAAAGACAAAGGTAAAAGATGTTTTTGTAACCCTAAAAAAGGGGCTTATATTGTGGTCGATTTGGACCGCGTATATTAGTTTGTTGGAAAAAAGGATGTTAAAGAAAAGAGAAATTGGCGCATTCTTCACTTTTATTCGTTGATTATAGTAAAAATAGATATCTAATTAAATCAAATTAAATCAAAGTCAAATAAAATTGATTTATTTAATTGATTTGGTTCGATTTTTATCCAAATCATGAACACCCCTAACTATAAATAAGTAAAAATAGATGGAGGAAGTAGTTAGTACTCTTTCCGTCTACTTTTATTTGTCCATTATACTAAAAATAAATATTCATTTTTACTTATCTAGCTTAAAGAATAAAGAAACAATTATTCACTTAGTTTTTAAATTACCTTTGTTCACTGTATTAAAAATAAATGTTTAGTTCTCAAAATATTGATTTGTTTTATATCAATAGTCATATGGTAAAATTATCATTATTTTATTGCTATTATAATCCTTAAAATGTAACTTTTTATTTAAGAATAAATTATAATGCAGATATTGGAGTATTACAACGGCTGAATTATTTTTTGGTAGATGCTATCATTAAAAAATAACAAGTATACAATGTATATATTTAAAATATGTCAGTACTTTTAAACAAAATAAATGTTTCGACACTATTATGGGAAGTATTTTTGTTATTTAACTTGTTTTAATCCAATTATTAGTTGTGCTCATAATCTATGGCATGATCTTTTCACATAAAATAATACATGAATCTTCATATAGTTTTTGTGGATATTGTTTAAGATTAAAAAAAATAGCAACCAAACATTCTTTTTCTGTAAAATAATAAGGTTAGATTTTAAGTGAGATTTAAATATTATAATTCAACAATCAACAACAATATGTTACATGTTTGTGATTGAAATCTCATTTTTTTCGGAAAGATTCAAAATTTAAAAGAAATTATACTCTATGAGACTATATGACCAATTGTAATTTAAGTAGAAGAAAATGATGATGTAATTTTTATTAATTTTTATTTATTGGTGTCATATTAAAGTTTACCCATCTCAAATTAATCATATAAGTTATGTGACATAAGGGCCCGTTTGGCCATAGATTTCCCAAATAATATTTGGGGAAAAATTTGGCAAATAGTGTTTGTCCATACAATTTGCCATTATTTAGCAAATATTTTTGGCAAATATCCCAAATTCCCAAATACTAGTTTTTTCTAGTATTTGGGCCAAATCTCATTATTTGGAATCTTTTGAAAATTGAAATTTTACCCCAAACTTTTATCTTTTACAAAAACACCCTCTATAGTAGTTGTTTGCGTTGTATTACAT